TGTTTTGTTTATTGAGAATAGTAAATTTTTCAGACAGAGTTCTGTTAAATCTGCTGGAAAGCATAGGATCACACAGCTGCATAAGAATAGGAATCAGTAACATGATTTGCAACATGTATGTTCAACTTATTAATAATTTTCCCTAATTAGCCATTCATATCTTCAAGGAGAAAGTTACAGAACTCTCCCATTTCTCTGAACAACAGAATATAAATGTTTTCATTGTTTGGCAGAAGAGTACATAGCCAAGTTACCATGGAAAGTTAGTTAACAATTGACTATACTGTAGTCACAACCCCAGGAATGTCACTGTTTCCATGGAAAGATTCAGAAACAGTATGCAGGTAGTCCTCAACTTACGACCACAATTGAGCCTCAAATTTGTGTTGCTAAGCAAGACGATTGTTGTGAATTTTATGACCTTTCTTGCCACAGTTTTCAAGTGAATCACTGCAGTTAACTAAATAACATGGATGTTAAATGAATTTGGTTTCTCCACTGATCTTGTCAGAAGGTTACAAAAGGTGAGCATATGACCTGGAACACTGTACCTGTCATAAATATGAGTCAGCTGCCAAGTGTCCAAATTCTGATCATGTGACCATAAGATGCTGCAACAGTGGTGTGAAAAAGTCACTTTTTTCAGTGTTGTTGTAACTTTGAATGGTCACTAAAGGAATGGTTGTAAGTCAAGGATTACCTATATATTATAGAGTTATACTGCAAATGTTATAATATGCATGTGATTATATGTGCATTAAAAACAAGAGAATACTATGGGATGAACTTTCTTATCAGTATTGCAGTAATATAGCACAAAATAATTTACAAATATAATTAATTTAATTGGACTAATATGGCAGAGTAGATTAGTAAAGTTTGATATAAATAGATCACCTTTTTCCAGGCAGAAAAATATATATTCAGCATCTCTTGAATCTATATTACATTCTTTGCCTAGTTCAGGCACCCTTATATGAAGGAACACATTACATCTTTCTCTTTTTTTAACATTTGAAATAAAATTTATTTCTGTAACTAATATTTCTATTTTTTTTCCAAATCTACTAATTATAATTACTAAATGCTTGTACCTTTACTTTTATTTAGCTCTAGTTGGGCACTTTTTTTTTCAACTATTAACGGAGGGAAAGAAGAAATCTAAGCAATAAATAGGTGATAAGACAGTGATAGATGATAAACAGATAGGCTAACCTTTTGGGGCTTCTGTGCTGAAAAATGTGTGCAGGAGGGCGCATGAGCTCTGCGCATGCATGCATGACCCCTGTGCCTGCGCCACGCATCTCTGTGCATGCATCCCCCATGCACACCGCATGTCTCTGCACATGGACATGCGTCTCCCGCGCCCCCTGCCCCCTGCACATGGCGCCAGATACTCAACAATCAGCTGTTGGGCAGGTGGTGCGCACGCATGCGCAATAAACCTGTTCTGGATGAGGGCTCACATGCCGGCAATAATGGCTCTGCGTGCCACTTCCGGCATGCGTGTCATAGGTTCGCCATCATGGTGATAGGATATCTACTAGTGACTTAATATATTCTGCCATGTCTCAGAATTTGTGATGTATAAAAAAAGCGTATCATCTTGTTATTTTTCCACAACAAAAATGATTGGATAACTAGAAGATTCTATAAATTGTTAAGTGGCGATTCTGCTGTAAGGCTAACAGACCAGTTGTCTTTCCTCTATGGCAGGGGTCTTCAAACTTGACAGCTTTAAGACTTGTGGACTTCAACTCCCAGAATTCCTCCACCAGTCATGTTAGCTCAGGAATTCTGGGAGTTGAAGTCCACAAGTCTTAAAAGGGCGTTGGTACTTACCTGATATGCCCGTTCTCTTTGAGCTGTGAAGAGCATCCAGTAGTGGGAGGTGCTTCAGTCTCTGCACGTCTAGGCTGGGCTTAATTTCGGAAACGCTCCTCCTCCTCCACAGGACTCCTCCACAGCATTCCCCAGTTTTGGCAAAGACGAGAGAGTAAACACCCTCGCTGAAACGGGACCCCACCAGATGGAAAAAGGGTGGGGCTGGATGCTCTTCACAGCTCAAAGAGAATGGGCGTATCAGATAAGTACCAATGCCCTTTCTCCTATGAGCTGTTCAGGGCATCCAGTAGTGGGACATACCAAAGCTTGGCCTGTTAAGTTTGGGGTCTGAGAGTTAATACCACCTGCCATTTCGATTGAAGGAATTACAGTATGCTTGTTATTCAATGTAATACTGTGAAGGCGGTTGGCATGCCCAGGGGCCTGATCTACGAACAGACCGGTTGCCCTGATGATGTTTTATTCCCCCCCCCCATTTTTTAAAATACCTATCTATAATGAATTGTATCTCAGTAATATTTTATTGATATTAAAATGTTATACCGAATAGATGATGATGATTATATCACTAATATATAACTATATATATATATATATAGATATAAATATATATAGATATCAAATAAATAGCACAAAGCTAAAATTATTGAAAATCCAAACAGCCAAATTGAGAACGCCTAAAGGCCCAAGTTGATGAATGTAGAGGCCTTCAACAGCTTTCCTGCACAGGCGGACACAGGCCTAGGTGCTCGCTGTTGTGCCACTGAGTTGATTGGGCTGTGAGGGTTAAGCCAACAATTTAAATGTACAGATAGCCTTGAATGTAGTAAAAACAAGACAAGGGTGTAATGATCCCAAGTGTTCCTAAAGAGAAACTTCTGCTTGGGAAAGAAAGTACCTCACACAGCACCAAATAAAATACAGTCAGCATGGCCACGTGGTCTTTGTAAAAAAAAAAAAGGCCTCCAGCCATTAACTTTTTGGCGCGCTCCCCAGCAGAAAACTCCCACCATGTGGAGGAGTAGCCTTCGAGGGCTTCTCCTATAAGGCTAAACAGTGGGGAAGGGTGGAAGGAACTAAGTGTTTAAATCTTCCATCCCCAGGTAGTGTTCAGAGGGGGGGAAGGAGAGCGATACGACTCTGTTGTGAGCAAAAAAGCTCACGCCACTATTCAGATGTAATAAACTGCGGCTATCTATCAGAATGGCAGGGGTAGAAAGAGGGTTGTGGGGAGGGGGCGCGGAGCAACGCCAAAGCTTCCTTCTGCTTCGGGGCGCGAATCAGCGCTTCCCTATAATGTGAGCAATCTCTGACTGCCTGATGTTAAAGAGCCAATGTCGAGAGATCGTAATGCGATTAGGAGGCTAAAGTGTCCTAAAGACAAACTGGTCAATTTTCAAACCTGCTAGTAAAAACGAATTTTCCTGTTTCGGCCAAGGAAGAATCAGAAGCACCACCTATCCTCATGATGCTGAGCCAAAACTGGGGAACGCTGGGGAGGAGTCCTGTGGAGGAGGAGCGTTCCAGAAATTCAGCCCAGCCCAGCCTAGACGTGCAGAGACTGAAACACCTCCCACTACTGGATGCTCTGAACAGCTCATGGGAGAACTTGCCAATTTTGAAGACCCTTGCTCTATGGACTTGAAATCAGACAATAATTTCTAAGTTTAATAAAACAGGTTTAGAAAACTAAGAGTACTAGCAGACTACTAACAGAAGATATTTTCTCCCACAATAATTTGTGGAAGCCACTACAAAAAGATGTATGAAGGCCATTAACTTGGGTGGCTTTAAAGGGGGAATTGGTTAAATTCATGGAAGGCATATCTATCAAATGTTAGTCTTGTAGAGTTAATGTGACCTTTATGGGTGGGGAAGCATGCCTCCAAATTACAGTATGAGCAAGCATATAGAAGTAAACACAGAAAATGTCATAACAATACCATACAGAAGAAACTACTAAGTATAATTAAAATTGCCCTGAATTTCTTGAGCATTTATTATATTACAATCATCTCCAAGCCCGAGAAATTTCAGACTTCAGGACTGCATCATTAGATGCAAAAATATTGTTTTGAGAATGGGTATAAGCAACCTACCCGCTTTAAGATACCGTATTTCCCCATGTATAAGCCACCCCTTTTTTCCAAAATTTTCGAGCCCAAAAAGTAGGGGGGTGCCATATACAAAGCAGGTACACTTTTTATACGTGAAAAATGCATAAAATAATAAAGTAGGAATAAACTGGTTTTCCAGCAGTATGCTATACTTTTTTGTAAAAATTGTACGTGATGATACGATTACGAGTGCGAGTACGCGATAGAAATGCATACGCTAGGCATCGGCCTGAATGCTTCGTTCCTACTCTCGTTCCAATGCGTAGATTGCTAGCGTTGCCCGCACCGCTTTCGGCGTCATGACCAAAGTTGTAGATCTAGACGTTGAATTTTGTTTCTTTGTAAATTTTCTTTCTTCATAACTTGTTTCTCTAATAAAATATTTTTTTCAAAACTTCACAGTCCAAAAATTGGGGGGGTGGCTTATACAAAGGGGGTGCTTATACATGGGGAAATACGGTATTATAGATTTTTGCGTAAGTGCCTCTGGCATTTGTTATTCCATCTCAAGAAACTCTCTTTCAGAAATATTTATTTCATATTTTTGGTTCCACCCACAGCTAGTGGAATGGGGCAGGGTACCAAAGACATACCAATGGGTGCTTCTGCAGGGGAAAAAAAAAAAACCCTCAGAAGGTCACGTTTGCCCCAACACATAAGGGTGTTTGTGTATGGAGGCCCTCTGTTTGGCCTTAGGCCAAGCTTGGAGAGCGCCAAAATGCATTACTTGTCTCTGTCTCTCCTGTTCAGCGGGATGCGCGCTTTAGCAATCCCAGTTCCAGGAGTCTGGAGCGAAAGCAAGTCAGTACCAAGCCTGCCAGACATAAAGTACCAAGCCTGCCAGACATAAAGCAGCTCCCCTGGGCGAAAGAAGGCGGGCCTGGCTATGCACAGACCGACCCCCTTTTGCAGGCCTAGCTGGCTTCTGCCTTGGCGATCGTTTCTGTAGAAGGAGGGAGCGATGCTGCTGCTGCTGCTGCTGCTGCTGCTGTTGCTGCTGTTGCTGGGATGGTTATGTCAGGCGGGAAGCCGGAGAAGGCGGGCGCCGGCGGAGGGAGGAGGAGCAGCCGCAGCAGCGAGAGGACCGCATCAGCTTCAGCAGCAAGAAGCAATGCCGCACCGCGGAGCAGGATTCTGGTTCCAGTCCCAGAGCAAACCCAGCGGAGCGGCTCTTACTCTCTTGCTGACAGGTTGGTTCCTGCCGAGCCCCCGCTTGGGCCCAGCCCTTCCCGCTTCGATGGCACATCCTCCTTCGGTCACGGCCTCCCACACCGTTGCTGCTCATGCCCGACCCTTGCCAAGCGGAGGTCCCCTCCCTGCTTATCTCTGCCCTGATGCCAGCCTTCTGCCGCCGCCCTCTCTGCAGCGGCTCGCTGTTTTTCCTGTACGAAAAGACCCGCCCTTCCTAAAGTAGCTGCCCCGGGAGGGTTAAAAAAAAAATGCGGGCAAAAGAGGAGGAAGCAGTTGGGATAGTTGCCTGTAAAAGGCATTGCCTTCCCTTGGGCAGATGCCATTCCCATCCCCCTTTCATAACAGGGCATGTTACAGAAAAATATTTTAAAAGATGTATTACTAGTGTTTTTTTACGATCATGAAAAAACAACAACGTCACGAGCAGATTACCCTATAGAGGAATATATTTAAGGATCAACTGATTTTGATCAACTGATGAACTGATGAATGTATCTTTTCTTTTATGTGTACTGAGAGTATTTGCACCAAGACAAATTCCTTGTGTGTCCAACCACATTTGGCCAATAAAGAATTCTATTCTATTCTATTCTATTCTATTCTATTCTATTCTATTCTATTCTATTCTATTCTATTCTATTCTATTCTGTTGGATGATAACACATGTGTGTGTGTGTTTAAAATATATGCAGAAACTCCAATAATTTTTTTAAATCTTGCATTTCAAAGAAAATATAGAGAAATTTGCTTTTTAAAAAAACAATATCAACATGTAGGCAGGGGTATTGTCCCCACTTTTTCTCCTCCATTTAGTTCTAAACTGTGTGAATTCTGATTGTGTTCTGTAAAAGCTGAAAGATAGAGGGTAGACTCTTTTGCAGATCAGACAAATCCTTAGCAAAGCTTTCTGTCATTCCTGAGCTTGGAATAACACGCACATTTTTCCATTCTTGGTTATGTGGATAAAAGCTGAGCAATACCAGCAAATGGAGATGAAAATATTCTGCTAACCAAAAAAGGAAAACATATGTAAATACTTGTCTCGGGAAACGAAGACATAGGACAAGATCTCCATTAAAAATAAAAAATCTTGGATGGGGTAAATTCAGAATAACAACAACCTCAAATATAGAATTTAGTTGTGTTTTTGTATCTCCCCACTTGGTTAATTGTTCACATTCTGATATGTGGGGGCAACTGTATTTATGATTAAGTAACTGCCTTAAATGTTATGATAAGAGAGCTAAGGATACATAGTGCAGGTAGTCCTTGACTTTACAACAGTTCATTTAGTCACCATTCAAAATTACAGTGGCACTGAAAAAAAGTGACTAATAACTGGTGTTCACAGTTACAACTTTTGCAGCATCCCTATGATCATGTGATCAAAATTCAGAGGCTTGACAACTGGTTCATATTTATGATTGTTGCGCTGTCATCATGACCCATGTCCCAAGTTCATGTGTCAAAGTCAATGGGGAAACCAGATTCACTTAACAACCAAGTTGCTAACTTAGCAACTTCAGTGATTCAGTTAACAACTGTGGCAAAAAATTCTCATAAAATGGGGCAAAACTCATTTAACAAATTCTCAATTTATAAATTTTGAGCTCAGTTGTGGCCGTAAGTCAAGGATTACCTTATTAACTATTAAAGTAAAAGAAAAAATATAAATTGGATATATGTACCTTTGAGATTGGCCCGTTTCTTCAGGTGGTCCATGTTATTCAATTCTGGCTAAACTACAACTCTCTAGGGTTGTTTTTTCTACCATAAGTAATTGATATATGAGGCATGCACTATATCTTTGAATGATGTCATTCTCAGTGGACCACATGTCTTATTTTTTAATTGTGAAAAGCTATAAAAAGTGAAATTACAATAGTAAATTAATACAAACTACAAATAAAAGAAAAAAAAATAAAAGAATAAAATAACAAAGATTCAGAAGCAAAAGAAGAAAGAAATGAAAAAAGAAAAGAAAAAAACATAGTAAAGAAAAAGAAATGAATAAACAATTTACTTTCCCCCTTAAACAAGTATAAATAATTTTAGTAACTTAACACCTCTTCTTAAAAGATGACAAATAGTCTCCCCTTAGCATATTTGTAAATAATACTTTAAAATCCTTCATTTCAGTCTTGATGTCAGCAAAAGTTCATTAAAGGTCAGTAGAGATAACAATATACCGTGTTTCTCATATTATAAGGCCGGGTCTTATTTTTTTTTGAGCCCCGAAAAAATGGCTAGGCTGTCTTTTCAGGGGTGACTTAATTCCCCCCTCCTTGCATCTTCGGGCAGCGATGGCTTGGACGTTGACCTCAGCGTTGGTGAGGCACTTCATATTGGGGTCAATGCAGGCAGCACCATATCCGGGTGTGCAACAAAAGTACTTCCTAACGGCAAGCCCCCCCACCATTCCCCCCCATTTCGCATGTTTTAATATAGGCCTTAATTTGGGGGGAGGGGCTTAATTTCATTTCATGCCTATAAAACATGCTGGGACTTCCTATTGGGGGAGGCCATATTGTTGGAGAAACAGGGTATCTATTTTAATCTTGATCAAATAAACTAATTTTATATTCCTTTTTACTTTTAACAATCTTGATTTTTAGTTCGCTCAAATAATGTTGTAGAATTTGATTTGTTTTCATTTTTTCTTTCTCCCTTCTGAGATTTTTTCAAAGCTTTACACAAGCTACTTTTGTAAATTTGAATATAGGAAAACAATCCAGATTTTTTTCCTGGATTGTTACCTGTGTATCTCTTTTAATTATTAAAACAAAGGGTAATGTCTTTGTCCAGTGTAGTATCATTATCCATATCATTCTTGTAGCATGTCATTTTTAAATTCATTTTCAGATCAGTCTCAGTCTTGGAAGGCAAAATGTGTTCTTCTATAACATTTTACATACAGTCTATCTACTATGATAGACACTTTTAAGATTAACTTTTGAGTCTATTTTTCAAAAATATTTTTCAATATGACCAACGTTAAAATATTTTGCTTTATGCTGTATCTATAAGTTGAATCTAATGTTCTTTTCTTTTAACTGCAATCTTTGGTTCCTTCTACTTTCCTCTAGCGTCCTACTCAAAGTCCTATTCTATCAAAAAAAATTTCCTAAAAGAATTCAAAACAAAAGCATTTTCCTGTGGGGATGATAGTTATATTTAATTCCAAAATCTTATTTCAAATATATCTGAAGCCGGAGTCCATTTGTAACTTTGTCAAAAACAAAGTTCTGACTTTCTTTCCTTTTGCTATTTATTAAAAAAGTCCTTAAAATTTTGTTTAAAATTTCTTTTACTAACCATTGAAGGAATCTCATCTGATCTTATTTCCAAAGATTTTTAAAAGCTGAAAAGCAGTTAATAAACAATTTCCAAAAGTGACAGAAAAGAAAGTATGCGAACTTTTAAAGGTGACCATGGTTTGAGCAAGATGGGTACTTTCTTGTCCCTCATAGCGTTAAATGTATTCATGACTGGTATGTTGTGGTCTCCTTGCAAGAAGCAAGCTAGTGGGCAATCTCAAATTCTTTCTTCGTCCAGAGAAGAATTACAAAGAGCCACTCAGCTGGCGGTTTGTCTTGCCAAATAGACCAGATAGGAAACACAACCAGATAAGTTAATTCTATGTTATCGTAAAGGTACATTAACAGAATCTTGCTAGTATGAAAGTACAATTGTCCCTCTCCCTCCTTTACAGCCCGAGAAGCTACTGAGAGCCCCTTTTAAGGCACTTGCTCTGCCCACTATCCCATGGTAGCTATTCTGTCCTTATGTGACTGTGCCCTAGGCAGCATCTCTTCGTCCCATCTCACATAAAATTATACCAGGTCTTTATTCTAGTTGTCCCATGCACTGATGATCTGAAAGAAGTTCATAAAACTTTTTATGTACGCTATGTACAAGCCATTAAATATCCCTTTACTAGATTTACAAGATTGTTTGATGAGAACTTTATGTATTACCTCTATTTTGTAACAAGCTTTCAGTTTTTAAATCTTGTATGAATATACATAAAATAGGAAGATCAGTTCCTGCAAAACTGAGGAGAAATAGCTTTGAACTTTTGGTACTAAAATCCACAAACTCTTAAAGAAAACTAACCAAATACTTTAATAATTATTCCTTATTCTGTAATTACAAATCACAACAAAGATGAAAAGACTGAGTTATTGAAGTTTATGAATGAGAGCGTTAACAATTAAAAAAAACTGGGTAAAAGAAGGTATGTATATAAGTCATTTTATTAAAAATAGAAGTTAGAATTTGGAAAGCAAATTTTTATATTTTCTTACTGAAGTATATACAGGTATTTTAACATGAGTATATGATCCTAGATAAACAAATTAAGTAAAATAAATGAAGTAAATTACAGAGATTTAAAGTTGTAGTATAGTGATATAAACTTTTTTCCTTTATCTCATTTAGCAATGATGTTTGCTTAACATTTCATATTTTTATAAGATTCTGACACTAATTTGGTTGCATGCAAATGGATATTTGGCTGTAAATATCTTTATCCCCAGGCCTTTGCATTTGAATAGTATGCACCAGAGGTGGTATTCAGCAGGTTCTGATCAGTTCCGGACAACCGGTAGGAGAAATTTTGAGTAGTTCGGAGAACCAGAAAATCCTTCCTCTGACTGGAGATTTTACAGTATCCTTCCCCTGCCACGCCCACCAAGCCACGCCCACAGAACCGGTAGTGAAATAATTTGAATCCCACCACTGGTATGCACAAAGAATTGGAAACAATTTTTAAACAATCATGCTCATTCATCAGAACGTTCATTTTTTACAACATCCTTTTATATGATCATAGGAGATTGGAAATACTTGGTCATAAGCTAAAACTAATTTCAGGCCTGGCCTTAAAATCAGGGTTGATTGTTTTAAAACGCTTTTATAAGCAGGGTGTGCACATATTAGCCAATAAGTTCAAATGGAAGGGATATCCTAAGTTAGGTACCTGTAATTCTGGTAATGT